ATGAAGAGTGCAATTGACTGATACAGAGAGATATGGACTGCCTGATGAGCTGGGTTCCTGCAAACAATACATATTTGAATATGGCTCAATGTACACATATACATCTAGGGAGAAAGAATGTAGGCTATACTTAATTATTTTACCTTTATATTGAAAGAATGTAGGCTATACTTAATTATTTTACCTTTAATGCAGTGCTCTTGGTGTCACTGCTGCTGGACTACTGTGTCCAGTTCTCATGCCCAGAAAGTTACTAATAAAATTGGATTGGGTTCACGAAGAGCCATATGAGAATAACTGAAGGATTAGAAAACATGAGTTATAGTAATAGACTCAAGCAACTCTATCTAAAGCAGGGGTGGGGAACTTAAGGGTCGGGGACGCATGCGGCCCCCCACTTGCCTGGATCTGGTGCGCTAGGCTCAGGGCTCCCTCTTGAGCATTGGGGAACCAGTGCTGGTGTTCCAGCCACAGGTCTCTCCTCATGGACTAGCCCCCGACTGATTTTTCTGTGGGTCAGTAGCCCCTGACCCAAAAAAGGCTCCCCACCCCGATCCAAAGGTTAAGAGATGATTTGATTACAGTCTGCAAGTATCTGTTCGGAAAACTTAGCAGAGAAAGTTAGAAAATGATTCAAAAGCTGAACATAGACAAATTCAGACTGGAAATAAGGTACATATTTTTAAGGTGTGAGTAATTAGCCATTGGAAAAAATTACTAAGGGTCCTCATGCAGTTTCCATTATTGACCAATTTTCAATCAGGATTGGATGCTTTGCTAAAAGCTCTAAGGATTATTTTGAAAAGTTCTGTGGCCTGTGTTACTGAGGTGGTCAGACTAAATGAGCACAATGGACTCTTCTGGTCTTGGGGATCTAGCAATCAATGAATAAGCATCTACTGGGCTACAGTCTAGTAATTGTCCTATGTGGCATCTTCTTTCCTTCATGCTCCAAGAGATCCATTTTACCTTGATTTTAACCTCCATCCAGGAGAGCTGGCAGCCTCACTGGGCCCAAGGGGGGCAGCTCCGTACTGCCAGAATGGGTGAGGATGGGAGCAGGCAGCTTTCATCCCCCCAGCCATTAGCACTGCCTGGAGCACACAGTGTGGCACTCCGGCAGTGATTTAAAGGGTCCAGTGTGCCAGGTCCTGCAGTAATGGCAGTGGCAGCACAGGGAGCCCGAGGCCCCTTTGAATTGCTGGGCCCCAAAGTAATTGCCCCCATTTACACTCCACTGTCAGTGTGTCAGTTTCCATTATATTGTAATGTAGGGATGGGGAACCTACTAAGGATGTTAAATAACAATTAGTTTACTTGTTGAGTTGTCAATGGAATTTTTATCGACTACTCAAGTAGTTGATAGCCACTTCCGCATTCCTCCTTTGAAATGTAGAAAGTGGAAGCGCCACATGCAGCCTGGAGTCAGCAGGACTTCCTGCTGGCCCTGGACTGTATACGGCGTGCCAGCTTTGAAATGTACAAGAGTCCCCAACAGGGGCTCTTGTGAATTTCAAAGCAGAAGCGGCCGCATAAAGCCTGGGATCAGCAAGGGACTCAAGAGTCCTCCGCTGACTCCGGGCTCCATGCGGCGTTGCCGCTTCAAAATTCCATGCGGAGCCAGGGTCAGCTGGGGACTCCCTAGCTGATCCCAGGCTCCACACAGCATTTCCCTGGAACCCGGGATCAGCTGGGGTCTCAAAGCGCGGCATTTCAAAGCACATAGAGCCCAGGGTCAGGCTGAGGAGTCCCCAGCTGACTCCGGGTTCCATGGATATGCTCAGGGAGCCCAGGGTCAGCTAAGGAGTACCCAGCTGACCCCAGGCTCCGGGCTGACTATTTGAAACTCTGCAGCAGCGTTTCAAAGGGACAGTGCCGCATAGCGGATCCTGATCTGTGGCATTTAAAAAAGGGCAGTGCCGCATGGAGCATGGGGTCAGCTGTATGTGGCACTGACGCTTTGAAGCGCTGAGGCAGCATTGAGGCAGCATTTCAAAGCAGCTGTGCCACACAGCTGCCACTCTGAAGTACTCCTCTTTCCCGCCTCCCTTGCTCCCTCTGTCTGATAGAGGGAGCAAAGTGGGGAATCGACTAGTCGACTCAAATCCGATAAGCATTTGCTCGTGCTCCAGCTACATGGGGAGGTGCCAAGTCTCGCAGGCTGCATCAAGGAAAGCCACAAATCCTATCTGGCCTATACGCTTTGCCTGGCATGGGGGAAGAAATACCTCTATGCACTGCCCTTCCTCCTCTCCCTCCCCCCTGGGCTGGGAGAATGGCAGCTCAGGAAAGCTCTGTCCCTGCACTCGCTTGCAGGTTCTACCTGTCACTTCCACTGGCCAGGAATCACCCTTGTGCCCCCATCTCTGGGAGCTGAGATAGGTAGGCACTCCAACCTGTCCCCTACCCCCACCACCCACTACACCCTATCTACCATCCAGCCCTATCCCCATCCTGCTGCTACAATCTACCTACAGCCCATCCCCTACCCCCACTCTGTTCCCTGGCAGCCCCCTCTCATACAATGAACCCCTCATTTTTGGCTCCACTATAGAAAATCTAATCTCAGGCCCCCAGAAAATTATCTGGCCTGGAGGTGGGAAGAGCCCAGAGCCTTGCACTTCCTCCCTCCCTGTGAGGGGAGTGAGGTGAATATATCTTTTTCTTTTTTTAGCGGGAGGTTTCACATCTGTGAGGGTTTTTTCTTCTCCTCACTTGGGGGCCAGGTGTGATATGTGGAGTTCCAGGGGAGCCAACTGACGTCACTCAATTAGGGGACCCTGCAAGAAATGGGACCACCAATTCCCAAACATGGCAGATATTCCAATATTTATATTCACAAAGCCAGCACAAAATGGCTTCTGTGTTACCTTATTGATCAGAGTCCAAGCCACTCAATTCCCTTGAAGTTTCCAGCCTCAAGCCACCACCTGGACACTACGGCCAAATACATTCTACCAATCCCAAAGGACTGGGAACATTAACTCCCAGGTCAATAAGTTTACAGACCTTATCCCAAATACACATTTACAGACAGTTTTTATTAACTAAATTAAGATGTATTATTTTAAAAAGAAAAAAAAGTATTGGCTAAAAAAATCAATATACATTACAGACACGAGTTCAGTTTTTGAGGTTCAGATACATAAGAGAAGTGGTGATCCTGTAGCTGCAAAACTTCCTTTAGAATTTAGTCCATAATTATAGTCCAAAATCTGGGGTGACTCCAGTCAATGACTGGGCCCTCAATCCTTGTGGCTTAGGCTTCTCCTGTATGAAACCTCACTTGTGTGTTGCCCCGGAGACATTTTTCTGTAAGTTAGTGCCCTCCCTTTGCTGTAGTGCAAGAAAACACTGGGTATAATTTTTCCTTTCTTCACGGTTCTCTCACCCTCCCCCCCCAACAGATATTCATAAGCAAACGACAAAGATTGAAGTTTCCTTTATAGAAAACAATATGAAACTTGTGCATTGTGCTTTGACTGCTTTCCCTGATGTACAAAATGCCTCTTGTATACTAAATCATTACACTGTATATCTGTTTTCCTGTCAACAAATTTTCATTATAAAAGTACTTTAGGGTTTTTATTTTTAAAAAAGCAACTTGTCTTTCTTTCTGTGCTATAAGC